TGGCTTCTCAAGTTCTCAGTCCTGTGCATGGTTTATCCTTCTCCTAGTGGCTCAGGGCAACATTGCAGCAGGGACTGGCTGTTCTACAAGGAGGCCCCATGGCTCTGCATTTCTCTGTAACCCACCCAGGATTGCCTGCCTTCCCCACCTCCCCTCGGGGATGCAAATGGAAAAAAAACCAAAAACTTTCTTTTTTTCATTTTAGGAATAACAGGTGTTTGTTGAAATTTTAAAATAATATAAGGAGATATAAAAGGACATATGAAATATATTTTTTGGAATTAAAAAAAAAACACATACTCATTAACCAATTGACTTTATGCAAGCTCAGTAACTTTTCTTAGCCCCTGTTTCCAGGTCGATAAAATACAGGTCATAATGACCTTGTAAGGGTTTCTGTTGAGAATAAACTGAGCACTTAGCAGACTGTCTGCGTATGGCAAGTGCTAAATAAGCGTTCATTCTTTCTACTGATCTTCCTTCTGGCAAGTTAATTTAGGAGATGGTATGGTTTTAAATAGTGGCTCCATGGGCTCCTGTTTCACTGCTGTCCACAAATATTTATTGAGATATTTGACCATGTGAAGTAATGGCAACATGACCGAATTATTTTCAAGTGCCAAATTATTATCTGTTTCAATCCTCATGACTCCTATGATGCAAGTACTCCCCATTTTACAGTTGAAGAAACTGAGGCTTAGAGCCACCAAGTGTCACAGAATTACAGCTGGTGCTGGGCAGAACCAGGACTATCATGGAGGTAGTCTGATACCAGGCCCTATGTATGTAACCACCACATGCTTCTGCTTCCCAATAAACTGACAGAACGTAAGAAAGAAGTTTGCCAAGCATCTAGCTGGGGAGATATACAGATATTCGAAGGTCACTAAAACACAAAGCCCATTGTCTTGGGCTTCAACATGGCTCCCATAGCCAACTCTGCTTCTCCATATTGGACCTTGACCTTCTCCTACCCTTAGACATTCCAGTATTGCAACTGGCTGACTCTAGCCACTCCATGCCCACTTCAGTGAGTGGTTCCACTGCTCCCCCCCTGCCAAGACATGACATTTTGGCGTCCCTTTCTTGACTCCTGGCCTCTCATGTCACCACTGTCCTTTCTTTGAAAAGTCTCTTCATTCTATAATTATTCTTCATTTCTAACCACTTCTTTGGGTCACACCTTCATGACCTTGTGCCCAGCTAACTGATGAGGGCTTCACTCTTATGCTGAGAGCCATAGCTAAGGAGGAATGACGCATGGCAATTTCCTTGTCAGCCTACCCCATGTTGCTTAGAGGAAGGACTCTCCATTGTGGAAATGGGCTTGCCTTGGACCCAGGTCATTTGCAGTGACATTGCATGTATGTTTGAGAAAGGTGACCCTGCTCAAGGACCAGGGTGGATCCGGGTTTAGGGAGGATCCTGCTGGATTAGGGTGGGTCCAGGTTTAGGGTGTATCCTGCTGGGAATAGGGAGTATCCCGATCCTTGGGTTTAGGGTGGTTCCAGGTTTAAGGTGGACCCTGCTGGGAATAGGGCATATCCTGCTGCCTCAGGCGCCCGCCCGCTCCTTGAGTTCCTGTTGAGTTCTCCCGGGATTCAGAGAGTATTTTGGGATGCAGAGCCCAGTGGAAGTGTGGATTTGCCCCAGAACATGCATATAGAGTGCTGGTGACAGTTCGGGAATAAAGAATTGCTGTTTGAATCTACAAGGTGTGAGTGGCTCGTGATTTTGTGCCCAGCCAGACGGCGGCACTCTTACTTTTTTGCCCACTTGCTTCTTTCAATCCACTCCTGTGACCTAACCACTCCATATGGCCTTGACATCAAACCCAACCTGCCTTCTGATGCTCCTTTGCATTCAACTCACTTGAAATATCTGCCCTTGACCTTATCTGTGGCCAGTCTTCTCCCACTCCGCTTCTCCCCTGCAGACTTTGCCCTCTGACATTTTTCTACCTGTGCTGCCATTTCCAATCCCGCCCCACCCCACTGTTCCTCTTCTGAAGAAAAACTCAGTTTCTCTAGATCCATAAAAACCCATATTTTTAGAACCAGGTGACTTTTAGGAGAGCATCCACTCTGATATTCCAAAAAACATGTTCCCAGAAATTGCCTTTCTTATTGAAGACCCAACTTCAGAGGCAGGGCTCCTCCCTGCTGCTGACGCCAACACCTGGGAGGACCTGCCATTGGGCACGTTTGTTGTTTGCTCAGGTGGGCACTGACTTTTTGAGGGTAGGAATCAAATGTTCTCCTTTCATATCCCCCAGAACCCATAGCACTGAGCCATGTACACAGAATTTACTCAATAGAGAGTTATTAATGAATCAGTGAGGCAGACAATTATATGAATTAAGAGGGTTCCCTAGGGACTCTAGTAATTAGAAAAGACTCCATGAAAAATTAAGGTGTGTAGTGGGACTTGGAGGATGAGCGTTCTGATTTATTTTATTTATTTTGGCCAGAAACACAAATTTGATCAGCACAAGGGTTTTTGTTGTTGCTTTGGGATGAACTGGAGAGTCTCATCTTTCTCCTGGCTACTGATTCCCAGCTGGGAATCTTCAGCCTGAGTCTCTCCTCTGAACTCCCCGACCTGCCTGTCCAGCGGCCTGCTTGGCAGTTCTAGATCATGAGGAACTTCAAATTCCCCAGGTCCTGACAACCACTGCCCTCTCTCCCTGCCCCACTGCAGTCTCCCCTCAAGTAGGAGGATACCTCTAGCCTCCTGCTTACTCAGGCCTAACTCCAGAGTCATTATTGGCTCATCAAACACACTCCACGTGCAATTCAACAACAGCAGCAACAAATCCTATTGGTTCCATTTTGAGAATATATCCAGAATCTGTCTTTGCACCACTTCCATTGCTCCCTCCTAACTGGTGTCCTTGATTTCCTGCTCACCAACCCCGCTGTCTATTTCCAACACAGCAGTCAAGGTGACTCTTGGTAAAACATAAGCCAAATCATATTACTTCTTGGCTCAAGACCCAACAATGGCTCCTTATTTCTCCCAGAGAAAAGCTGCATCCCTTACCTGGCCTACATAATCCGGGGTTCCCAGTGCCTCTCTGACCTCCCTTTCTACCATTCCCCCCTGGCTTACTCTCCTGAAGCCACTGGAAGCCCTTACCACTCCTCTCTGCCTTGCTAGGTATGCTCTGACCACAGGACCTTGGAACTTGTTATTCCCCTGCTTGAACTACTCCTCTCTTAGGTATCTTCTGGATTGATTCTTTACTTGTTTCAAGTCTTTACTTATATGTAGGGTGACCATATGTCCTTGTTTTCTCAGGGCAGTTCCAGCTTGACCCATATCTCAGTGTCATTACAAATAGCTTCTCCCTGGTATTCTCAAATATTTTTCAACTTGGATAATAAATTGCATGTTCATCCTATTCCATTGTCTCCTTTTCCCTGAGTCCTACCTTCATCACCTCACTCAAGTTTCATCCCCAACTTTTGACACTCCAATTGCCCTTACCTCATTCTATATTTCTCTCTTGCATAGAACACCCTCTAATCAGTTATAAAATTTGCTTGTTGTGGGGCTTATCATTTTCTGTGCATCTCCTTTTTTAGAATATATGCTCCAAAAAGGAAGAATTTTTGTTTTTTATTCACTGATAATATCCCTATTGCTTTCCTAGTGCATGGTAATAATTCAAAGTGTTTACTTAATGAGAGAATTCATTTTTGAGGGGAAAAATGTGGAATTTCTATGAGGAAATTTCTGCATCTGCTGCTTCCTGTATATATTTAGTTATCCTGAGCACATGTTCTCTTCCCACCTACAAGATATTCTTTTTTTTTCAGGAAGTAATAAAACCTAAGCAATCATGTGCTACATGTACAAACTATGGACTTCCCCATGAGAAGTCAAATCCTTCATTTCACATCTTTCAATTGGGGAGTATCAAAGAACAACAACAAAATGCTACCTGGCTAAACTTAAGACATTTTGTAAAAATACAGTCGATTGTCTGAGTTTATAGCAATAGTTTATAGTTTTGGACTGAGTGGACCAAAAGACTTGGCTCTTTGTTTTGGCTCTAATGTTCCTGACAGTATGACCTTGGGTAAGATCATACAGGGAGACTTCATTTCCTCATAGGAGGAAAGAGAGGATATGGCCTCTGTTTCTGTAGCCCCTTGTAGCCTCATTGCTATTCTTCTGTGCAGCCAACATGTTTGTTCAGAAGTGATAGCTTGGGCACAGGTGGGAGGTGTCTTTATTTCTTAAATGCCTGCCTTTCTGGGCCATCGGTGCCAGGAGTTTCTCATAGCTCAACCAACAGGGTCAGCCTGATGCTTACTTAGAAAGGAGAGCTTGGCTATATCCTTGGACCCTTCTGTCTGTCTTCTCTCTCCTTCTCTTTTTCTTGGCTTGTGGAGTATTTTAGTCCCTTTGGGGGTGGTGTAACAAACTACCAGAGACGGGGCAGCTTATAATAACAGAGAAATATTTCTCCTAGTTCTGCAGAAGCCTGCTTCCTGGTTCATAGATGGCCATCTTCTCTGAGTCCTCAGATGGCAGAAGGTACAAGGAAGGACACTAATCCTGTTCATGAGGGCTCCAATCCTTATGACCTAATCACCTCAAAGGCCCTGCCTTCAAATACCGTCACCTTGGGGTTAGGTTTTACATAGTCAGTCTGTACAGTGACAAAGTCGGTTGGAACTCGGGACCTTTTGCAGACCCCAAACTCAAGATTTTCCGTCATCACTTCTCTTTCCTCATTCATTAGTAAGAATGGATGTCATATATTCATTACGAAAATAGATTACCTTGCGGGGTACAGTGGCACACACCTGTAATCCCAGCAGCTTGGGAGGCTGACTCAGTGAGACCCTGTCTCTAAATGAAATACAAAATAGGGCTGGGGGTGTGGCTGAATGGTTGAGTGCCCCTGAGTTCAATCCCCAGTAACACCCCTCCCCCAGCAAAAAAAAAAAAAAAATAGATTACTTTTGTGGAACACTGACCATGTGACATGCATTGGGCCAAGAATTTAGCCACATTTAACTCTTACAATAATTCCATGAAGCAAATATGATAGTTATTCCTGTTTTATGAGTGAGGGCCTGAGTCTCATGGAGTTGAAGAGACTTACCAAAGGCCACACCGCTGGGAGGTAACAATGCAGCACTCCTTCCTAGCTAACTCTGTAACTCTGAAGCATACAGGCTTAAGTCACGTCAGCTGCTCCTTTCGATGGCGGACATTAATCTTATCCATTCAGCATGGGCTAATGAGAGAGGAGAACATAAATCTGCACAGCCTAACATGAGCAATGAGGGAATTTCAGGTTAGGTAGAAAGCGAGGGAAAGAAGAACTGCTCTTCAGGGACTCTTAGGTCGTACCACCTCATGCACTTGGTACCTGACCCAAGGCAGGACTCAGCCCCTGTGTTCCTCAGCGTGAGCTAAGCTCAGCTGGGAGGACACATCCCACACCCTCTCACCTCACCTCAGCTCCCAGGTTTCTTCCGGTTTGAAAGCCACTGAAGTGGATGTAAAAGCCAACAAGAGCCCCAGGCTTTGGCACCTCCTGGCCTGCCTGCAAAAGGTCAGCACAGTCTTATCTAGAATGTAGCTGAGGAAGTAACTTCCCTCAACACTCTGGGCTGGGAAACAACTTGCTCCCTTTTCTCTCTTTGTTTTTCTCCTCCATTCCCACAAGACTCAAGGATCCTGTGGGAGTGAAGTCTTTGAAGCCGGAGGGGGATGGGGTTGGGTAGGAAGGAGGCTTGTGTCTGGTCTCTCTCTCCCTAAAAGTTCCTCCTCCACTTGGAAGCCTCCGAACCTGAAGTGCCAATGAGACCCCCTGGGATCCCAAAATAGCTCCCCTCACAGCTGCACAGCAGCCATTTATAGCTCAGGCTCTCTGCTGCGTGGCTGCCTCTGAGCCGGCACTCCTGAGGTCAGCCTGCTCAACGCCAAGCTCAATGTCATTTGAGTACAGAAACGCGGATAAAGGACCTATTATGGTCTTGCCACTGTTTCTAGGACTCGCCCCAACCCTCAGAGGCTTTAAAGGGCCAAATTTGTTTTGACGCAGAGCCAGACCACTTTATGTCCAACAATAACCCAAAAGCCGGTCAGGTCCCATCCCCGGTGCCCAGCAGCAGGTAAGAACAGTTGTGCTTGGTAGCAGCAAGACAAACAGTACAAATTTATACTTGGGCCTCAGGCCCAGTAGCCTGGACTCCCCCAGGGGAAGATCCATCATCAGACTTTATATATGTAATATTCTTTTATTAGTAACAAAAATGGGGCCATTAATTAATTTTATTCACTCCTGTTATCACATTATTCATACTCACTGGGAATGTTAAATTATAGAGCAAAGACTCCCCCGACCCCAACCAGGTGTTCTGTGCTTTCCTTCTCCCACTTGATCTAAAAGGAATTAACTTTGACCCACTTTCTCATGCAGAGACTCTTCGGGGGACTGAAATAGTCCATTAGCCGAGCATAATTTGCTTTTTCACTCTCAACCCTGAGTAAAGCCAGGAAGGTAGAGTGACCCTGGTTGGCCCCTCACATCCTAGGGAGCCTCCTTCTGCTTTCTGCAATAGTCACCGGCACTTGTACTTGTGACACAAACATTTTTTTTTTTTTTGTAAAAGCAAAACTCAGGATTCATCTGGAACTTATCCAGGGCAGGTTTCTGAAGCCAGGGGTCTTCCTCGCTACAGTCAGTGAATGGGAGCAAGTTCTTGTGGATCTACCCTCGCAGAGGGGAGGCCCGGAGTGAACTAGAGACAGCCGGGCATGTTTGCCACACTTGGGTGTCAGAGGTCCTCAAATAAAGTGGCCAGGAACCTACGTCCTGTAGCCAGGCTGCTTGTATCCCCACCCAGTTTCCACTCAGTACAAAGCATGTGGTTCTCAAATAGCTACTTCCATTCCTGAATGCCACTGCACCTGTCTGTGGGGCGGATACAGTAATAATTAATTGACATGAGAAATTCATATGTGGTCCATGGCATGTATAAGTCACTCAGGTTGGCCACCATTACTATTTTGACCTAAAAATTGTATCACCTATGACCTTTGTATCTTTTTTCATAGCTAGCACTTTAAACATATGCCACCTAGCCCTCATAACTTGGCAAAGGATAAAACAGCCCTCTCCCTCATTTTCATACTGGGTCTCCTTTATTCCTCAGAAGACTCTTCATTGTCATGAAAATCATGTGTCATAGAATGCTAGGATGGGTCCGCACATGTCCTCTTAGAAAAGAAGGAGAGAAAGAGCACAAAGTTAAACTCAGGTGCATGCAGATGCATATCAAACAAAGCCGTAAGTGAACTTATTTTCTCTCTTTCCTTTTTGATACTTTGAGCTGTGGCTCCACTCAGCAGAATCAGAATCACAGTCAATTCCGAGCTTTCCCTTCAAGGCAGGAGTTGGTTTTTTATTTGGACAGGGATGCAGGAGGTGACCCAGGGTTGGAGGTGGGGGCCTCTGTCCTCAGTCATCACCGTGCAGCACCTCTAGCATCTGCTACGAGGTTTCCGTCTCCTCCAGGCTTTCAGCGATGGCCCTGGGTGCATTTATCACTTCTGTATACTTCTCATTTGACCTCAAGGGCCCTGCTGGCTTGACTCTCAGGCATCTCTGCTCCACACTGGGGCTGTGGGAAGCTTGGGGAGCTGTTTGAGGTTCTGTATGATCTCCATGCAGCTCCTGGGCTCTCCCTCACCCTCTGCAGCTCAGTGACCTGTGGGAATTCTTGCTGACCTAGACCCTGAGAAGTTGGGTTTACAGGCCTGCATCATTACTCCTAGCCTAGATTTCATTTTCTTTTTTGGTACCAGGGGATTGAACTCAGGGGCACTTACCACTTAGCCACATCCCCAACCTTTTTTTGTATTCTGTTTAGAGACAGGGTCTCAGTGAGTTGCTTAGGGCCTTGCTAAATTGCTGCGGCTAGCTTTGAACTCCTGATCCTCCTTCCTCAGCCTCCCAAATTACTGGGATTACAGGTGTGCACTGCTGCTCCTGGCCCATCTAATGTTTTTGAATCAAATTTCAGATACTATGTGAAATAATATCACAGACTGGGTGACTTAAACTACAAAAATTTACTTTCTCCCAGTCATAGAGGCCGAAAAGTTCAAGGTAAGGGCCTCATAATTTAATTTCTGCTGAGGGCTCTTTTCTGGGCTCCCAGATGGCCACCTTCTCTCTAGGTCCTCACATGGCCTTTTCTAGGTAAGTGCACATGGAGAGAGAGAGCTCTCTCTTCCTCATCTTACAAAGCCACCAATTCTATTGGTTGGGGCCCCACCCATATGACCCCATTTAACCTTAATTACCCCCTAAAACTCTTGTCTCCAAATACATTGGCACTGCCAATTAGGATTTCCATGTGTGAGTTTTGAGGACACATCATTCAGTCCATTGAAAATATCCTTTGGGGGCTGGGGTGCAGGGCCTCATATATGATAAAAATGTGTTTTCTACGTAGCTACACCTCCAGCACTTGGAAATGTCTTGCTCTCTCTTTCATTATTATTATTACTATTTTTAAGAAAATTGAAGATCATTTGGAGTTTTCCAGTCTGGATTTTGCTACTTGCAGCTCTGTGGTGTGGGTTTAACGTGCTCCTCTATTCCACTCATACATGGGCAGTTGGATACAGAGGTGGGACTAGATTGGCAGGCCTGCTTCACAGCGGTGGTGGCTGGGCTCCTGAGGGGGGGGTACTGTTCCCAGAAGTCCATGTTTCTGGGAAGGCAGCAGCCACTGGTGATGACTGCCTATATCCATGTCTCTGTTGGAGCATGTAAAGTGGCAGTTTTCTAATTCTATGATTCCTTTTTGATTACTAGCTAAAATAATTCAATACAAGGAAACTCCTCCTCCTCACCTATTCCTTTATGCAGAGGTGCAGTTTGAATAAAAAAAATGCAGAAATATTTGATTCTACCTTTTTCTTTAAAACGATTTTCAAAATAATTATCTAACATTCTCAAAAGATAGTTTTCTTTCTTTTTTTTAAAAAAATATCATTATAAACTCATGCATTTAAATATATCTGAAGTGCTGAACTACATTGCTGTTGTTTTTTGGAACTTCATATTGGTCCATCTTTGCTTTTAAATCAGTCTCTTGAGTCTTTCAGATGGAACCTGTGTAATCTGCAATAGCTTCTTCCTGGTTGGGCTGGATAAAGTGTTTCTAGGCCTCTCTTGCACCTGGAAACCTGGATGCATCATTTCTTTACAGGTTCTTTTCATTAGGAAGTGGTGATTCCAAACCACAACCTTGGTTCCAGGGGTGAGAGTTGGTATTGGGTTGATTTTGTTTTGGTGGACAAAGGTGGAGATAAAGATAAAATACCACATGTGCACATATAGAAACATCATTTCAAATTCAAGACTATATGGCTTATACTTAATTGTGTCAATCTTATATCTTTTTCTCCTTTGTGCCAAAAAAAAAAAAAACAACCTAGTCCCTAAGGACCCCAATATAATTACTCATTTGTTTTATTTCATAATACCTATTAGAATACCAGTGTTAGAGTATCAGCTTTTCTGCCAATGATATTATGATAGGAAACATTTTAAAGTGTTTCTTTCTTACTTTTTTACCTTTAGTTCTTTTTGCCTTTGGGTTATAGCCCACTAGGGATGTATGGTCAAATCCATAGACTTTTGACAATTAAAAGCTTTGACTTTTGAAACAGCAAAGCCAAGACATTAGGCTCTTTTTTCTTACTGTATGGAACACTATTATGTTAAGGAAAAAAAATAAATGTCACATGATCTGTCTGCTTATGTAGGGAAGGAACAGAACAGAAAATACTAGGGAAAATTAAGCAATTAATTTTACAAAGTATTATGTCATCATATATATTGCTTGAAAACACTCTTCTTCTTCCTCCTCCTCCTCCTTTTCTTCTCTTTGGTCTGAATAAGATATGAGTTAGTCTACTTAATGGCATATGAAATTATGACTTATTTTAAATGTATTGATGAAAATGGGAATATGGCTTTATTTGCAGGTACATGTGTTAAAGTTGCTCTGAAGAAATATCCCAGTATGGGTTCTGAGCAGACCCTATTGCAAATATTACCCAAGTCAGTTAAGAAAAGAGAAATGGATTTCTTTGCAAGACTTCCTTGATTATTTTATTGAGTGATGGCACAAATCCAAAGATTTATGTCTCAACAACTTTTTTATTGCTGTTGTTGACTGCTCTCTCTTTCATTCTTATCTTGTTCCATCTAAATTGAACTCATTTTGAGTCAGACCTTTAAAGGGAGGGGCTGGAGAGGTAGCTGCACTGAGCACTTGGCTAGCAGGCGTAAGGCCCTGGGTTCAATCCCTAGCACCACAAAACAAACCAAAGAGAGACAAAAGCACAAATGTAAGGAACCAAGCCTGAATTCTAAGTGATGGAGGCTACTGATAAAATTACCGCACTACTTCTCATTTATAAATCTCCAAGCATCTAGTTTACCACTGAGTCTATAATAACCACCTGGTAAATATGCACATTAATCAGACTGGTCCAGAAATAGCTCTAGCCTGGACATTTAAACTGACAGTCAATTGCTACAGAGAGCAATACTGGATTGGAGATGCCCAAGTTTTAAGTGGACTCATTCCTTTTGGGGGACTGTGGAGTCTAAGGCTCAGAACTTGGCAAGTCCCTTGGGAAGCCCAAGTCTCCATGAGGCATATGCATATATGCCTTTTTATATCACCTGCCTTTGTCTTTTCACATAACCTGGTTTGAAGCTTCTTTACCGAGTGTAGGATTTGAAAGTTAATTAACCATTAATTATTTTATAGTAATTATAAAAACAAGAATAATTCTATTAACATAAACGTATGAATTAAACAAACATGTTACTTATCATGTTATCTTTAGTCACTAACCATGGATCATTCATGTT